AGCCTGGTATGGTGGCGCATACCTGTAACCCCAGCACTCAGGAAGCTGAGGGCAGACGATTGAGAATTTAAAAGGCCAACCTGGACAACATAGTGACTTTGAAACCAGCCTGGGCTTTATAAAAAGAACCCTGTTTTAACTTCCTGCTCCCATCCCCTAAAAAGAAAAGTATCAGCCAGTGCTAGTGGCTCATACCTGTAACCCTAGCTACCCAGGAGGCTGAGATCTGAGGATTGTGGTTTGAAGCCAGCCAAGGCAGGAAAGTCTATGAGCCTCTTATCTATAATAAACTGTAATAAGGTACTCAGAAAAAGCTAGAAGTGATGCTGTGCTTCAAGTGGTAGAGAACTAGTTTTGAGCAAAAGAAGCTCAGGGACAGTGCCTGGGCCATGAGTTCAAGCCCCAGGATCAGCAAAAATGAAAATAAAAACAAACATAAAAAAATCTATCTTCAGGGCTGAGAAGTTAGTTGGTTCAGTGGTAGAGTGCTTACCTTGCATGCCTGAGGCCCTGGGTTCGATTCCTCAGCACCACATAAGCAAAAAGAAAAAAGCCGGAAGTGGCACTGTGGCTCAAGTGGTAGAGTGCTAGCCTTGAGCTGAAGAGCTGAGGGACAGCGCCCATGCCCAGAGTTCAGGCCCCACGACCGGACCCAAAAAAAATAAATAAATAAAAATCTACCTTTAGATCTGTGCCTGATTTTGTTTTTCTTTAGCTCAAGGCTGACACTCTAATACTGAGCCACAGATCCACTTATGCTTTTATGCTTTTTGCTAGTTAATGGCTAATTAGAGTCTCAGAGACTTTTCTGCCTAGACTGACTTCAAACCATGACTTTTAGATTATAGCCTCTTGAGTAGCTAATATTACAGTTGTGAGTCACTAGCACCTGGCTTGGGTGAAATTTTATAGACTTCACATTTTGGAACTTTAGAAGCCCAGACGTTTTGCCTTTTTGTTGGTGTACTTCCTGTTATGGATAGTACTCAGGGCAGCCCAAATTACTCAGCTATTTATTATATTCTCTATCTCTGTGAGCATTACTAGTGGTGTTGAGTAGAAGAATCACATGAAATCTCTGCCATTTGGGATCAAGATCCTTCTGATTTCTGCCAAATGCTGGTGGGATGGAGGAACCTAGGTGATAGTTAGCATAAACAGATGGTTTTAAAAGTACCATCCCTACTTCCTCCCTCTAGATGAAAACTACTGACTGAAAATTCAAAATTTATCATTCATCTTGTCTGAGGCAATACCCATAGTCAAATCCTTTGTTCTCCTGAGGTTTACTCTTTTTTTTTGGTCAGTTGTGGGGCTTGAACTCTGAGCCTGAGCACTATCCCTGACCTCTTCAGCTCAAGATGAGCACTCTACCACTTGAGCCACAGTACCACTTCCATTTTTCTGGTGGTTAATTGAAGTTATGAGTCTCACAGACTTTCCTGCCCAGGTTGGCTTTGAACCATGATCCTCAGATCTCAGCCACCTGTGTAGCTAGGATTATAGGCATGAGCCGTTGGGCTACTTTTTCTTTTTCTCTTCTGTTCTTTTCTTACTACTTCTTTTCACTTTTTTTTTTTTCTGAGTTAGGGTTTCCCTATTCAGCCCAGGCAGGCTTCAAACTTTGGAGCTGGAAGTGTGGCTTAGGTGGTAGAGCTCCAGCCAATGAGTGAAAGCATAATACTGAGTTTGAGTAGTGATCTCTGACCAAAACAACAACAACAACAAACAGAATTTTTCTGCCTTTGTGTCCTGGGTGCTGAGAGGTATGCTCTTGGCTTCAGAATTTTATTTATTTTAGTCAGTCATGGGACTTGAACTCTATGCCTGGACCCTGTCCCTAAGCTCTTTTGTTCAAGGCTAGTACTCTACCACTTTGAACCACAGCTCCACTATAAAAGTCCCACAGGAACTTTTCTGCCTGGACTGGCTTTGAACCATGATTCTCAGATCTTAGCCTTCTGAGTAGCTGGGATTACAAGTGTAAGCCACTGGCGCCTGGCTTCTTTTATTTTTTTTTTGTGAGAGACAGTCTCAATAAATAGCTCATGCTGACTTCAAATTTACATCCCTTCTGCTTTAGCCTTCCAAGTGCTGGGTCTAAAGATGTATACCACCATGCTTCAGCACCCAGGTTTTGAATATATACAGTAAAAACATTGTTGAATACTTCAGAAAATGTGTGTATTTCAAAATTATGCACACACACACACATATTTTAGTCTGTTTTGGGACTTGAACTTGAGCTCTTCAGCTCAAGGCTATTGCTCTACCACTTGAGCTACAGTGCCACTTCTGGTTTTCTGGTGATTAATTGGAGATAAGAGTATCAGATTTTCCTGCCCAAACTGGCCTTGAACTGCCATCCTCAGATCTCAGCCTCTTGAGTAGATAGGATTACAGGCATGAGCCACAGTTGCCCTGCCTCTAAAATTATATTCTTTTTTTTTTTTTTTCTGTTGGTCATGGGGCTTGAACTCCGCCTGGGCGCTGTCCCTCAGCTCTTCAGCTCAAGGCGAGAGCTCTACCATTTGAGCCAAGTGCCACTTCTGGTTTTCTAGTGGTTTATTGGAGAAAAGAGTCTCACGGACTTTCCTGCCCAGGCTGGCTTTGAACCGCAATCCTCGGATCTCAGCCTTCTGAGTAGCTAGGATTATAGGCGAGAGCCACTGGCGCCCGGGTTAAAATTATATTCTTTTTTTTTTTTTTGGTCCAGTCGTAGGGCCTGAACTCTGGGCCTGGGCACTGTCCCTCAGCTCTTCAGCTCAAGGCTAGTGCTCTACCACTTGAGCCACAGCGCCACTTCCGGCTTTTTTTTTTCTGCTTATGTGGTGCTGAGGAATCGAACCCAGGGCCTCATGCATGCAAGGCAAGCGCTCTACCACTGAGCCACCTTCCCAGCCCAAAATTATATTCTTATACTAGTATATTGTATACTTTAAAAAATTAAAAAAATAGTTAGATGCTTGTGGCTCACATATCTGTAGATACTCATGAAGATGAGACCTGAAGATTCATAGTTTGAAACTAGCTAGGGCAGAAAAGTTCATGAGATGCCATCTCCAGTTAACCAATGAAAGGCAGAGCTAGATGCATAGCTCAAGTGACAGAGGGCAAGCTGAGCCAGCATGAGGCCTGAATTCAAACCCTAGTACTGCCAAAAAGAAAAGGAAATGTACAAAATATAGATTAAAAATAACAATGAAGGGGCTGGGAAAGTGGCTCAGCAGTAACGTGCTTGCCTTGCATGCATGAGGCCCTGGGTTTGATTCCTTAGCGCCACATAAACAGAGAAGGCCAGAAGTGGTACTGAGGCTCAAGTGGTAGAGTACTAGCCTTGAGCTGAAGAACTCAGGGACAGAGCCCAGGCCTAGAGTTCAAGCCCCACAACTGACAAAAAAAAAAAAAGAAAAGAAAAAAAATACTAATGTATAAAATGAAATATGAAAATATAATAGTATGAAATATACAAAATATAAAATAAATTTAGGTATGCAGCCCCCCATTGGAAACTATAGGTCTCATTAATATGTTTATGAATATTTTTTAATTAAATGAGTAAATCTTTCAATCTCAAAGATAAATGTCTAAATTATAGAACAATATATATATTGGACTTTCTATAGCAATGATCTAGAAAGCCTTGCAAAAGCAACAGCTGAGAAAACTTGAGTTGATAATGGACACAGTAGTCCTTTTCAGTGGGTATAGAACCTCATTGTTCCATGTGTTTGTAAATAAGAAGTATGATGGGAATCATGCACAGTGGAACACATCTATACTCTCAGTTACAGGGAGCTGAAGCAGGAATATTTTTTCAGTACAGGAGTTTGAGATCATAGACAACATAGCCCATCTCAAAATAGAAAACAACAACAACTAAAGAACTGGTGGCTCGTGCCTGTAATTCTTGTCACTCAAGAGGCTAAGATCTGAGTATCATGGCTAAAAGCCAGTCCCAGCAAGGAAGTCTGTGGAGCTGTGGCTCATGTGATAGCATGTTAGCCTTGAGTGATAAAAGCCAAGTGAGTGCATGAAGCCCTGAGTTCAAGCCCCCAGTCCCAAGCACCAAAAAAAGAAAAAGAAAAGGAAAGGAAGAGAAGGAAGGAAGGAAGGAAAGAGGGAATTATTAGGCAGGATGGTAGTTCAGTGGTAGAACATGTGTTTAGCATGCATAAAGCTTTAGTTTCAATCTTAGCACCAGGAAAGAATTATGACTAGAGAATCCTAAGACTTCCAGAAGGCTAAAGTTTCTAGCTACAATATCAGTGAGACCTAGATGACTTAAATAGCTACCATCATTCTCTGGGTGATGGCTGTGGATGGCATAGGCTAGTACCCAGTGTGTGAACTCCAGGGAGGACTGGTAAGCATGGTCTCTAACATGCTCTGGCACCTCTGGCAGTGTCCAGAAACAGTATCACACCTAGTGTGTGTGTGTGTGTGTGTGTGTGTGTGTGTGTGTGTGTGTGTGTGTGTGTGTGTGTGTGTGTGTGTGTGTGTGTGTGTGTGTATACATATATATAGATAGATAGATTATAAAGAAAAGACCAATATTATGCCGGAGTCAGTGGCTCACGCCTGTAATCCTAGCTATTCAGGAAGCTGAGATCTGAGGATTGCGGTTCAAAGCCAGCCTGGGCAGGAAACTCCATAAGACTTCTATCTCCAATAAACCACTCAGAAAACCTGAAGTAGTGCTGTGGCTCAAGTGGTAGAGTGCCAGCCTTGAGCTGAGGGACAGCACCTAGGCCCAAAGTTGAAGCCCCGTGACTGAAGAAAAAAAAAAAAGACGAATATTTCCCATGTAGATTGAACCTAAATGTTCCCTCAACCCATATGTTATATGTGATATATATCATTGAAGTTTAATATGACTTATACCTACTTATCTTTGAATTGTAGATCAATATAGAATGATATTTTTTAGTATTAACTAAAGGAAACCTCTAAAATTGACCTTAGCCTTAAAAAAGTCTTAAGAACTTATGATTTAAAATGCTCACTTTGGCAGAACATACACTAAAATTGGAATGATACAGAGATTAGCATGGCCCCTGTGCAAGGATGACATGCAAATTTGTGAAGCATTCCATATTAAAAGTTATGATTTAAAATTGATCCGAACAATCATAGGTATAAATGAGTAGTGGGGCACTGGTGGCTCACACCTGTAATCCTATCTACTCAGGATGACAAGATCTGAGGATCTAGGTTCAAAGCTAGCCCAGACAGGAAAGTCCATGAGACTCTTATCTCCAAATAACTAACAAAAAGGCAGAAGTAGAGCTGTGGCTCAAGTAGTAGAGCCACTAGCCTGAGTGAAAAAGCTAAGGGACAATGCTCAGGCTCCAGTACCAGCATTAAAAAAAATTTGGAGGGGCTGGGAAGTTGGCTCAGTGGTAGAGCACTTGCCTTGCATGCCTGAGGCCCTGGGTTCGATTCCTCAGCACCATATAAACAAAAAGAAAAAAGCCGGAAGTGGTGCTGTGGCTCAAGTGATAGAGCACTAGCCTTGAGCTGAAGAGCTGAGGGACAGTGCCCAGGCCCAGAGTTCAGGCCCCACGACCGGACCCCCCCCAAAAAAGCTTGGAAACCATTGTTCTAAACTAGAGAATACATTTTTCCAGTTGAACTCAATTTTAGCATTAGAGACATTAGTAATTATTTTGTTCATTGAAACAGATATGTAACTAATAAACAGTACTGATAAGTTTGCAGATATTTCTGGTCAATCCTGGTTTTATCTTTCTAAACTTTTAAAACATTTGCTTTTATTTGTTTGTTTGTTTATTTATTTAATTTATTTATTTGCTGATCCTGTGGTTTCAACTCAGGGCCTTGTCCCTCAGCTTTTATTTTTGCTCCAGGGTAGTGCTCTACTTCTTAAGCCACAGCTCCACTTCTGACTTTTTGATGGTTAATTGGAGATAAGAATCTCAGGCTTTCCTTCTTAGGCGGTTTTGAACCTTAATCTCAGATCTTAGCTTTTCTTTTTTGTCCCTCAGCTCTTCAGCTCAAGGCTAGCACTCTACCACTTGAGCCACAGCGCCACTTCCGGCTTTTTTTCTTTTTGCTTATGTGGTGCTGGGGAATCGAACCCAGGGCCTCAGGCATGCAAGGCAAGCGCTCTACCACTGAGCCACCTTCCCAGCCCAGATCTTAGCTTTCTGAATAGCTAGGATTACAGGCCTGAACCATGAGGCCTAGCTTCTTTTTGAATGGGGGTTGAAGGTTTGACTCAGGTGGTAGAGTGTCAGCCAATGAACAAAATGTCAGATTTAGAACTCAAATCCTGAAGACTTGGAAAAAAATTATATTAAGTGAAGTAAGCCAGACCCAAAGAAACATAGGTCCCGTGGTTTCCCTCATTTGCAATAATTAGTATACAGCTAGGATAATCTTACCAGATGAGCAGAAAAGCTCAAAAGCTGTGTACATATGACCATATAAGATGATGCTAAGTGAAATGAACCCCAAGATATGGATACAAGAGGTCTTTCTTTGTTGTTCTTGTTTTTAATGTACTGTGTGATTTTTTTGTTTCTTTTGTACATTCTTCCCCCTGTGGTATATCCCCTGTTGTCACTGTACTTGATTTTGGGACCCTGAATCTTGTATACATTTGTCTAATTTGGGGAGGGGAAGGAGAATAACAAAATGCTGAAACAAGGACACAGAATGACCCATTGCAACAGTGATACTCACAAGACTCTGTGTTGGAAATGAACTTTACAACTGTGGGGAGGGAGAGGAGTGAGAGAGGTGGTGGAGAGAAGGGATAGCAACAAAGGAGGGAGTAACAATGCTGGACAAGAAATGTACTCATTGCCTTATTCATGTAACTGTAAACCCTCTGTGCAGCATCTTTACAATAAAATTAAAAAAAAAAAGAATTCAAATCCTGGTCTCGGACCAGAAATCAAAAGTGGGTTGGGTATGTGATGGTAATGCATCAGTTAGTGAGCACAAGTAAGATCAGGTAGTGAGTTTGAGTCCTAGTTGCACAATATTTTAAAAATAGATTAGATTGGGCTGGGAAGGTGGCTCAGTGGTAGAGTGCTTCCCTTGCATGCATTAGGCCTGGGTTCGATTCCTCAGCACCACATAAGCAAAAAGAAAAAAGCTGGAAGTGGCACTGTGGCTCAAGTGGTAGAGCGCTAGCCTTGAGCTGAAGAGCTGAGGGACAGCGCCCATGCCCAGAGTTCAGGCCCCACGACCGGACCCCCCACCCCCCCCAAAAAAAATAGAATAGATTATACATAGTCCCCCATTCCCTCCACCTGGAACTTTCCAGATTGAACCTGAATTTCTTGCTCTGGTCTTTGACCTCTCTCTCAGTGCTCATTTGCTTTCTTCCAATCTCTGCCCCATCCTCCACAGACAATGGGAAGCTTCCATTCATGGCTATGCTTCGAAACCTGTGCAACTTGCTGCGAGTTGGCATTAGCACCCGCCACCATGACCTTGTTCTGCAGAGACTCCAGCACTCGGTATGTGTGAGGGTGGACAGACTGTGGCTCTACTTGAAGACTGATTATGAAAATGCTGCTGCTGACATAGTGGTGGCCGGGCTTTTCTGAGTACCCAAGAAAGGCCAGGGTCACCAGTCTGTTTCACTGTGGGCTGCAATAGGTGTGAAAATGCAAAGGCAGATATGTTGTCTGAAGTTTCAGTACGTCATTTGAGAAATTATAGTACCACTTAAGAACTTTCATTTTTAATTTCTGAGCTTCATGACTACCAGAAAGAATCCTTTTTTGTTGTTGTTGTTCCAATACTGGGGCTTGAATGCAGGACCTCAAACTTTTTGTTAGCTTCTGCTTAAGGCTGGCACTCAACCACTTGAGCCACAGCTCTACTTTTGACTTTTTTTTTTGTCGGTTGTGGGGCTTGAATTTTGTGCCTGGGCACTGTCCCTGAGCTTTTCAGCTTAGGGCAAGTGTTCTACCACTTGAGCCACTGTACCACTTCTGGGTTTTCTGGAGGTTAATTGGAGATAAGAGTCTCACGGACTTTCCTGCCCAGGCTGATTTTGATCCTAAGATCTCAGTCTCCTTAGTAGCTAGGATTCTAGGCAGGAGCTGCCAGCACCCAGCAAGAATCCTTTTTATAATTTAACCAACCAGAGGGAGTATAGTATAAAATAAATGAGAGCTCTTCTATAATTTTATATTTCCTCTCTTGTATGTTAAAATGATGACTTTCTTTTCCATGTATCTGAAATTGTTTCCCTTTCCTCATCTTCCTACCCATCTCACAATTGGTTGGTAAGAATGAAGTGGTTACTTAATTGCCATGGCCTCCTCAGCATCCCTATTCTTCCTGGTCCTCTGCTCATGGTCCTTCCCTTGCTTTTCAGAAATCTGTGATTCATAGTCGGCAGTTTCCATTCAGATTCCTTAATGCCCACGATTCCATTGATAACCTTGAGACTCAACTCCGGAATAAAGGTATTAGTATTAGCTTCCTTCTTCCAATGTCTGCGTAGCTTTCAAGTCTAAATGAGACAGGCCCTCTGGTATTCTCAGCTCCTTATCTTGTAGACTTGGGGTGTGTGATAGGCAGAGGTCAGACACTTGCTAGCCCTGGGGATCAGAACATATTAGTGGCAGGATAAGATGAAGGAACAGAGGCTATCTGACTCACATGTTTTTCCTGTCACCACACAGCATTGCCCTTTCCCTCCAATTTAAACCTGATGAGGCGGATAATGAATAGAATCTTTAAAAATATCAAGAGGCCTGCTAATCCAAGACACTTTCGCAGCCTAAGTCGTCGGCAGCTTCGGGCAGCTATGGCAATACCTGCGATCTACAAGCAGCTGCAGTGGGAAAAGCTGAAAATAGAAAAGATCAGGTGTGTGTATGTGAGTGTGTGTGTGTGAGAGAGAGAGAGAGAGAGAGAGAGAGATATCTGGGAGCCATAAGTATGAACTAGGACATTTGTTGATGAGGGGAGGGGCTTCACAATTGCCTGGGAACTACAGCTGTTTTTCTGGAAACATGTGCTTATAGTTATCCCTGTATAGATCTGCTTGGTTTTACCAACATCTCCTGCACAGCAAAACCTGACCTTAACATTTTTCTGGCTCTATTCCCTGTAATTATTTCATTCATTCCCACGGACTCTGTCTCTCTCTCTTTTTTTTTTTTAAATCAGTTGTGGGGCTTGAACTCTGGGCCTGGGCACTGCCCCTCTGCTCTTCAGCTCAAGGCTAGTGCTCTATCACTTGAGACACAGTGCCACTTCTGGTTTTCTGGTGGTTTATTGAAGATAAGAGTTTATTGAAGATAAGATTTAGCTGGGTGCTGGTGGCTCACGCCTGTAATCCTAGCTACTCAGGAGGCTGAGATCTGAGGATCGTGGTTCAAAGCCAGCTCAGGCAGGAAAGTCCGTGAAACTCTTATCTCCAATAAACCACCAAAAAACTGGAAGTGGCACTGTAGCTCAAGTGGTAGGCCACTAGCCTTGAGCTGAAGAGCTGAGGGACAGTGTTCAGGCCCAGAGTTCAAGGCCCAAGACTGACCACAAAAAAAAAAAAGTCTCAGATTTTCCTGCCTGGGCTGGCTTTGAACCGCAATCCTCAGATCTCAGTCTCCTTAGTAGGTAATACAGGCGTGAGCCACTGGCACCCTGCTTCTCTCTCTTCTTTAGTGCTCTCTCTAACTCATCTATGGTTTATTGTATTGTTCTTTGTAATAATTGTTTTTCTTTTTATTTCTCTTTCTCTTTGTCTCTTTCTCTCTCTCTGGACTTGAGACTTAAATTCTCTTGCTTTTGCTTGGCTTCTCATGAGAGAAGTCTGGTGCTCTACCACTTGAATCACAGCTTTGCTTCCTACTTTTTGCTAGTTTATTGAAGAAAAGAGTCTCATGGTCTTTTCTTTCTGGGCTGGCTTTGAACTGGAAACCTAAGATATCAGGTTCCTGAGTAACTAGGATTACAGACATGAGCCACCAGTGTCTGGCTTATCATTTTTTTGAATCAAGTCTATGCATTGCATTTGGTTGTTCCTTCTCTTAAATATCTCAATCTTCCTTTTACATCAGCAAACTGCTGTGAAACCAGATTCAAGGACCCCATCAAAAGTCCCATGTTC